GGCCTTCTTAAAGTCTAGAAAGACTATGTCCACAGTGACACCATCATCCAAGGATTTAGTTACCTGGTCGTAAAAGGCAATCAGGTTGGTCAGACAGGACCTGCCTTTGATGAACCTATGCTGATTGCCCCTGAGCATGATCTCCCCTGCAGGCCCCCCACAGATATGCTCCTTGATGATCCTCTCCAAGAGCTTCCCGAGCACCGAGGTGAGGCTTACAGGCCTATAGTTACTTGGGTCCTCCTTCCTTCCCTTCTTAAAAATAGGGTCCACATTAGCCAGTTTCCATTCCCCCAGCACCTGACCAGATGACCACGAATGCTCAAACAGCCGGGCCAAAGGCTGCGCGATGACCCCTGCCAGCTCCCTCAACACCCTTGGGTGGAGGGCATCTGGACCTGCAGATTTAAAAATGTCTAGCCCTTCCAGAAGATCCCTAACTACATCTGCACTGACTGAAGGCTTGATAGAGCTATCCTCAAGATTGTCCCTACCTCTGGTAGGTGGGATATCCCGGTCCCTGTTCAGGAAAAGAGGCAACTGCTTCTAAACACTGTTTTTGTCTATTAATTTCATAGGTAGGGACCTACCTAAATCACAGTTTCTTAGATTTCACAGAAACAATGGAAAATAGTATTGTCTGTGATCACTAGGATATCTGGCACTGGCCACAATTTTCCACAAAATCAGCCAAAAAAAAGCAGTAATGAGGTGGACTGAGTGAAGATGCCCTCTGCCAATCAGTGGTGAGGGATCAGGCAAATAGAACAGTAGTGATGTAGATTGAATGAATGCACTCTCCACCAATCAGCAGTGAAAGGTCCCTCTGCAAATTGACGCGGCTCGGGGCTGCAGCAAAATGCCTGTGAAATTAGATCTGTGCACAGCAGGCAGGCTGCAAAAAACCCACTGTCTCACCATGACATAGGTAGGTCCCTTTTCATAAACTTTTATAATGCTCTGGTGGTATTTCAGCTCATCACAGAGCATATTTTATCTGTCAGCAGCTTCATAAATACCTTTTCCAGATAAAATCTAACAGAAACAAATGTATCCCATGCCAGGATAAGTGGTTCGACGTGTGTGTATTTGTTCATGTACAGGTTGCCTGGAGCCCAATGAACAATTACAGTTGTGCATGCCCAACCGCAATCAGCCAAGCATGTTTGTGTGAGCCCAGTGTACATCAATCCTGACTGCATGCACAGCACATGCTTTCACCTGTCATGAGAACACTAGTCTTAAAAGAAGTCCCTAAACCCAAAATACCTCTTATATAAAAGGTCTATTTTTCAGCAAGTTTTGCATAGCTAGATAACATTCTTAAGAGATATCAGTTAACAAGGAATTCAAAACCTGTAAGAAAAACTTGAGCTGGAGTTCAACTTCAAAGGCTTCCTTTTAAAAATACATGATGACAAACCAAAGACCATGTAAGAAATTCAACAGGCCAAAAACTGAAATTTCACACCAACTGGCCACAAACTGTTTGAGAAAAACTGAAACAAATGCCCTAATTTACGCCTGTGTTAGAATGAAACCTTAACTAAGACACCCAGTGCCCCCATAATTAAGGTTTAAGATTATGACAAACTATTTTCACCAAAGTTGATAAAACTATTTTAAATCAATTCACCAACATCACTTAGTCTACAATTCTAGATTTAGATTGCATTTAGTGAAGAAGTTTGGAAAGAATGCTAATCTAGTTTGTAGGATTTGAAATCATACAAAAATTGACAAACCCATGATATTATGCTGGGTTAAACACTGGCAATGAATTTGTGGGCTGACACAGCATCAGGTTCCTTGGCTGAAAGTATGGCAAAGTTGCAGTACATTGAAGAAGGAAAAATGTGTCTGTATTTCCTTCCACTCCATGAAAGAACAATTTCAACTACATAAATAAATTGCCTGGTATCTGAAAACTGGATACACAGACATGTCCAGGGACGAAGTCACCAATCATTGTTAAAAAAGTACCACTGATAAGAAATTAAGTTGATTTAAAATAGTCAAAGTTTACTGCATTTTTCCTAGAAAGGAAAAACAAAACATAGTTTGACATATTTTGAACAATTAGACTTGGAGTTTAAAGAAGACTTTATTCAGATGAGAGATTTTGTGAAGATAAGTCAGGCTAGAGCTGAAAACATTGCAAAACAATTTCAGGACCCTTTAGATAAGATTATCCAAGATGTTGGGTCTAAAATGCATAAAATTAGACCCAGACAAATACACACACATTTATTTTTACCTTGCTGCGTTGGGATCCTGTGACCTTAAAGAAGGGTGAGGACAAGAAGTGAAACAGCAATAAGCAAAGGTGTCCAAAATATATATAGCAGATAACTGATTGATCAAATAGATACACAGAACTTTATTTCTTAAAAGATGTACCAATTATTTACCAATTATCACCTCTTAACAACTTATGGATAAAAAAAATCTTAACAGCTATGGATAAAAAAAAAAATCCAAAGAAGGTGAGATCCTCTCTCTCAGGATAGCTTAAATCCACAGAATCAGTAAAGAGATAATAAGTAATAATTTAGATACTAATGTGGCATAATAAATTAATGTTAATATATTTTTCCTGCAAATCCCCTTCATTGAGTCCCACATTCTCTTTTTTAAAGTTTCTATGCAGTGGAGCCATACATACAACCATTATATGTGAGCACAATAGCAAAAGTTTAGCAAAACACAGCCATTTATACTCCTTGCTTAGCCAATGAAATCACACAGCCCAAACCAAATGTAATCACTCAGGCCTGGAATTTAAATTCAGATGCTTTATCTGTGCAAGTTTAAGACTTATAGCCTTGTAAGTCAAATATCTGACAAGTTAGCTGGACTAGGATTCATTAGTAAAGCTCTTCTAATTCTTAGGCACAGCCAAATGGGATGGGGCAGTAGCCTTAAAAGAGTCATCATTGTATCATATAGACTATAACCTGTCTGATATGTTAAAAGTGGACAAACTGGTTAAAAGCATTCACTGCAAATTCAAAGACTCTGCACCATTTTCAAGATTCAAATGTATTCACTTCCTGACATATCAATGAAAGGATAATAAAAACATTCTGTGTCTTGTTGTTTTGGTGAGGATAATATATAAAAGTAGTAGCCATACATTCATTTTGTAGTATGATACTTCTGACTAAGGATCTGAATATTCTTTTACAAAAGTTAATGAATTTAATCTTATAACATCCCTAGAAATTAAGGAACTATTATTATTCCCATTTCCCTGACTGGAAAAGAAAATCTAAGATCCCACAGGAAATCCATGACAGAACTAGGAAGAAATCCAAACAGCTAATTCTTCTCATTAAGTCACAAAACCATCTATACCCTCACATAAAGCATTCATCAATAAGAAGTCAATATTAATTTACAGTAAGTCTGGTGTAGTGACTGAGTTTTCCCATATTTAGAACAAAAAAAATAACTATACTAGTAATAATATGTGCTTGGTGTAAGTACACTGACATTTTCTAAATAAATACTGCTTTTTATACTATGAAACAAATAGTTTGATTCACTGTTTTTGTATTCATCATTACTGCAGAAAACATTATTCTTTTAGTATTTCTTCTCTATCCACACTTATGAATTTCAAGAAATCTTGCATGAGACAACTATCTCTTAACAGATATTGAAAATAATTTGCAAACATAGTAAGTCAGCTGAACTGTTACTGGCTGAGAAGTCAGCTGGTGAAAAATGTAAGAGAGACTTAGTGTTACACTATATATATATAATCTAATTTAAAATGATGTACCAGCACATCTTTTCTTTGCATTTTTCTACTGTCATTCTGATAACTTATATTTGCCAATCCAGCTTCTGACATGCAGTTCATAGACATCATAAGCTGCAGTAAGCCATGAAGCAAGAAACATAAATGTCAGTTAGAAGCTATGAAAAAAATGTCCAATATGAGACAAGAAACAAAAGGAAGCTCCAATCTTACTTCAAAACTCTTCACTTCTTCTTCGCCGTCATCATCCTCTTCATCATGACAGCTCTGAAATCACGTAAAAACAACACAATTACTCCTTTTTATTTTCTAATAAAACACAGCCCCAGCTTAAGATACAGAAAAGAACTCTCAGTCTTCCCCATGCTCTATTAAAAGGTAAATGAAAAAGTTGATGGAAAAGTTACCTTAGCCATAATATCAGCATAAGCCATATACAGGAAATCTTCTTCCAATTTGCTGTGGAAAGGATGCAGAGGGGAAAAGTGGGAGAACAGGTTATGATCACTGATATAAAAGCTGCAGTTCCATGAATAATTAAAAAACTCAAATAACTTTTCAGAAAAAAAAGCCCATAACTGGACAAATGTATAATTCCAAATGCAGTTTGCTTAGTTATTAAGTAATCTGTCTTAAATGTTTATATTGAGAACCTTTAAAAAATGTTTTAAAGGCTTTTCTTCTCCCTTGACAATTTCATAAGGGTCTTTTCAGGGCAGAAGGAAATGACTAAAACAATCTAAAGAATAAAATTAGCTGAGATAAACTCTCAGTTTTAGCTAGGAATGTTACTATCAGTTTTGAAGAAGAGATATGCAGTAAGTCCTGAATAACTAATGGGACCTTTTCAGATAGTATCCATAAATGTGCCACCAGAATTCATAGCTGCATTTGTTTGTCTGCAGAAAACACTGTGTTACTCTCTTTTTAAAATACCTAAAAGTACCATATTTTTTCACACGCAACACAATTTTTCCCAAAAAACACCTGCACGTTATATGTGAGAAATATGGTAAATGAAGAAATATGGATCTGGTGTTATGGGCAAAAATAAAAGTAAATTCTGCATGGGTCTCAAAGGGATCAGAACAAAGAACAGGCTCTGGTTGTTATTATGCAGTCACTTACTACAAGGCAAATTGTTTTTTAATCCATTCTTTCTTTCAAAAACAAGGTGTGCATTATAGTCCAGGGTGTGCCAGATGCAAGGAAATATGGTACGTTATGACCTCTTTACAACTCTGCAAGTACATTCTGCAAGAACTTACACAGCCATGCTTTTTGCATATCAAAGACACTTTGTGGCCAATAGATGCAGTTTTAAAAACAGAACCCACTTGAAAACATGAAAAAAAAACTTAGCAGCCTCTCAGACTGTCCCTACCATTTTTCAGTTAAGGCTGTTCGACTGAATAGTAGGATAAGCTGATGAAGAGGATCGACTCTTTTAATGCTTTCCTCTTCCTCTGGTGGCTCCTCTCCAGGTCTCTTGGAGAAAGAAAATTAAAACCAAATAAGAAAATGCTTGTAGTTACTGATTATAAAAGCTCTCTCTTACATTGCCGAAGTTGTCTTAGATATAGAATAACCAAATACAGAATTAGGACTTTCTGAATGTATGAGTGGCTAGTACCAAACTGCTCCTAGAACTACGGTTTTGAAGTCCACCAACATGTAGAGCTGGTAGAAAAAGCCTGAATGGAACCTTGACTGCACTTTTAACCAATCCATGAAGATTTACAAAATCTAAGAGGATACAGTTTCATAGAATCCTAGAAAAGCAGGACTAGAAGGAACTGCACACAATACTCTAGATCAGTGCTTCCCAACTTTTTCTTCAGCATGATCCCATTTATGACTGCATTTCCTTAGCATGGCCCCTCACACGCAACCCGCAGCCCGCCATGTGCCCCTCACTCCCCACCCCTAGTCCCCTGGCCCTGCCAGTGTCCCTCATTCCCCACCTGCAGTTTCCCACACTCCAGCCTTGCTGTTGCCCCACTCATGACTCGCAGTTCCCTGCCCCACTCCAGCCCTGCCGGCTGAGGCCCCAGATTCAGGATGACAGGACCAGAGCCAGGGCCCATAGTCCCCTACCTCCCCCAGCAGCATCCAGGCCCTGGTTGCCATCCACAGGAGGTGGCGGCTGCTGCAGCCAAGGCAGAACATGGAGCCTGCTTTCCCCTTGCCCCAAGGGCAGCATGGCCAAAGCAGAGCCTGTGGGGGCAGGAGGATGAGGGCTGCCCACTGCAGGATTGGGACTCCCCACCCTGCTGCCCTCCCCCAAGAGCCTCCATGGCCCAGCAGGTGGGACCCAGCACAGGACGGCAGGGAGGCTTGGTGCCGCTGCCATAAGCCCTACACTAGCCACACCACCATGATGAGGCACCCCCTGCCTGCCTGGCAGCAGCGGTACTGGCAGCATGAAGCTGTGCCCCACAGTGCTGCTGAGCAGGCATGGGGTGCTTTGTCATGAAGGCTGGTTAGGCTTCATCAAGAGCCTCACCAATCTGTTGTGGAGGCCCCAGGGGGAGGGCAGCAGGGCAGGGAGCCCCAAGCCTGCAGCAGACAGCCTGCATCCCCACCCCCACCCTGCACATAAATCTGGGGGGCACATGCTCTCCTTGCCTCCCTCCCCAGGAGTGCATGACCCCATTTTTTATTGTTGCAACCCCAAATGGGTCATGACACCAAGGTTAGAAAGTACTGTTCTAGATGAAGCCTACCCAGTACCAAGTAAGGAGGTACTATCACCTCCCATGACTTTTACTTAATGCTCCCATTGATGCAGTCCAAAACTTAATTTGTCTTCTGTGCAGCTGTGTCACACTGCAGACTGATTTGTGAATTTGCACAGTTGGGTGTTTGCTAATGCTATATCAGTTGTTTTATATTAACCAATCTCATATATGTCCTCCATTTTAAACTCATCTGTTTATAAAGCTAAATCCTTTTCTGAGTTATGCTACGTTCTGAACCAGAATCCTAATGATGGTCAAGCACTTATGCTAATAGGCTTGCCTACACTTTAGTGAGTACAAGACCTAGTCTTGTATAACATTACGCAAGACTTCAAAATATATTTAGTAATGCATTTTCTCTTGTACCAGCCATAGGTAACTTGGGTTTTGTGCCCTATTTCTGCTCTTAAGGATGCCATATGGATACCATTATGATTTGCACATCTGGCATATCAGTATTTCTGTATTTCTGCTTTTAAGATAAGCAGAGAGGGTTTAGCTAATGTTATGGAGGTATATATTATAAGCAAGTAGGGTATAAAAAGAAAATGTGCAAAATTATATGCTAAAATGTCTCCAATTAATTTGCTGTAGTGCCAAAACTAACAAAACATTAGTAACATCTATTTTATGTCACAGACTGATCATGGCCTTTATAGTTGTTATTGATAACCTAATTCAGGAGCACCAAGTTAGTTTTGCAGGCTTTTTTCAAATGACAAAAACCTAAAATTCAAGATACAAAGTACCCTGTTCCTCATATAAGCTATTTCTAGAACTGGGCTACCATCTCAAACTTTACAACTACTGTTTTCAATGTTAAATGAGGTAGTGGCCTGAAGACCTTCTCTCTCCCATTAGATACCACACTACAACGTATTGGGCACTGTCTGGTTCTTCATTAATGTAACAGTCTGTGCTTCAGAAAATTAGTGTTCCCTGCAGCTACAGTTTCATGCTTTAATGGAGTCCAACTAACCATGTTGCTGTCTGTTCCTGACTGATTTTTTGCTGGGCAAATGCAGCAGCTGCTCAAATGGTTAGCTTTTCCCAGAGTTTTATGATGGGAGGGGGTATATCTAGCCACAAGTGGTAGCTGGCGTTCTCTGATCAGCCCAAGCATTTCTTAATGTAGAATTTCTCTTTCATTTCTCAGATTCTACACTGACCCACATAATTTTCTTCTATGCTTAAAAGAGAATATATTTGCTTGGTTATTTTTTGCCTACATTTTTAATTAGAGATTTTTTTTCTTTTACGATAATTAACTAAGGGTGGCAGTATCTAAGAGTTTGGACTTTGAAAGTACATTAAAATTGCTTTAATCTCCCTTAGAGCTCTACAGTAAGCTGCATAACTTATTTTTATTTAGTAGCATAATATTTCCAAGAGCAAGTTTCTTTCTGTAAAGCAGGAATTCACAAAACTATGCTGTGGGTGAACAGTTCAGGATTCCATTCCATCCACTAGATGGAGAAATGGATTTAGGCACGTAAGTGTGATTGTATTCCAACCTGTTTGACTACCTTAAAAGTAGTTAATGCAAAATATAGGTCCTCCTCCTCACTGCTTTGTTTCTGACTCACTCTGAAGGGTGAGATGGTAGCATGTTACACAGGAAGATCCATTAATGGTTTTTCTGCATCTGAATAGGCTGGAATAGAATGCGACTTAGGTGCAAAAATCCACTTAGAAACTGAATAGGTAGAATAGAATCTCAAACACAAAATATGGGCTAGTGGCTCACAAGGTAAGGACTTCTCTTGTTTTCAACTTGTTAACCTATATTCAATTCAAATAGAAAGTACTTTCAATAGACAGGTATGATTGTTCACATAAATAATTATTTTCGCCATTGAGATATTATTTGATCACAATAAGAAGGCATTGACAATACGATGGAATGAGGAGAAGAATATTCACAAAGGAGATATTCTAGTTTAGTTTAGATTGCATACCAGTATTTTCATACTTTTCTTCCCTTGCTCTTTATTATTAAATAAATTAGCTAATCATTCATCATTTACTGAGACGTACTTCCTAAATAAAATTATAGTCCTCTGTTTCTAACAGTAGGGCAAGAACTCACATCATGACTCAGCAACAACAATTATCTATTTTTAAAATAAACTATGATCCTATTTTCAAATGCCTGAAAGTAAGGGGAAAACAGAGATCCCACAGAATATAGATGGGATCCTGCTTCTAAAAACGAAAATATTTCAAAATTACTCAAAAGAAACAGTTGTTGCCTAGTGACCTTTCAGAGAAAGCAAAATTTCCTGCATTTACAAATTAGTGGAGAAATTAATCAGAAAGATGACAAAAGTCTTATGCCTCCAGAAAGATGACAAAAGTCTTGTGCCTCCCCTGAAACTATTTATGACCTCAAATAAATTCTGATTCTTTGCATAAATGTGAATCACACAGGGAAAGACACCTTTTATACAGTAGACCGGAAACCAGAAGTAGCTACATTTAATAAACTTTGCTAAGGACACATCCACATGTGCTATTAATGCAACTGAATAAACTGCCACAATTTGCACTGGAGTTTATTGCTCCTGTGCACTGCATTTACACATCAGACTGCCAACCTTAGGCTGCTCTGACCTGGCTAGCCGGCAGGCATCCCCCACACTGAAGCAGCCTTGTGCACCAGCCAGCCCCATCAGTATCTACATGTATGATGCAGTGCACTAAATAACACCACCACAGGATAGTACTTGCGTTTACAGCGACTAACCTACAGCAGCATTTATTAGTTTCCTGTGACCTAATAGGGCCGCACATGTAAACACTGAGACTTTACTGTGGACCCAATTAGTCATCTTCACAGTAAATGTCTCATGTAGACACACCCTCTGTAGATTAATGTGAACTGTAAGGCTTTTTAAATTAGCTTATCCAAGCTGTTCCTGTATAGCTAGGGGGAAAAAACCCAAACACAAATTTTGTACATTCCTACTGATGTGGTTACAGTCCCAAAAGTAAAAGATATGAAATTCCTTAAAGTAATGCTTTGGCCATGTAAGGGCAACAAGAACAAATTCAGAAATTGGTTTTTCTTTTAAAAAGCTAAGTGCCAAAATACCACATTAAAGCAGAAAAAGGAAACTCAGCTAGTAAAGGGTCCTGTATTGAATCAATAAATAAAGCAAAAACAAACAACAATAATAATTTGCACTCCAAGGATCCCAAAATGTTTATGGATGAAGTCAGCCCCTTGGTTTTTAGTTCTCTCTCTCATACAGTTTTAAGGATGAAGAAACTGGAAAAAAATTGAGTTTCTGGTTTATATATACTGCATCAGTTTATTTTCACCATTGTGATGGTATAAAGGGCCTGAGATTGGTTAGATGAAAATTCTATACTCAAAGGGCACAAATTTTGGCTTCTACACTATCATCTCCTGGCCTTTTTGGTACAAAGTCTGTGACCAAACTGCTGCTGCCTTCCAGCTATCCCCTGCTGCCATTCCTGTTCTTTAGGCCATAGGCTGCTGGTGATTGGTTGTTGTGTAGAATAGAACCAGGTGAATGATCAGACAAATGGTTGATTCACGTCCATCTTGTCCCCTCGGTAGTACTTCATACTGATTTAATCTGGATCCAAACAGTTAGGCTAAGTACAGAAGTTACACATAAACCATTTTAAGTGATCAGAAACTGGTTTAAACCTGTAACAGAACAGAAGTTCAGTGCACATAAACTAGTTTCAAAATGGCTGGAACTTATTTAAGATAAAGCTGGTTGAATGCAGTATCATACTTAACTGACTTGGGTCAAACCAGTTTATGAAACTTCTGTCCCAGACCCCTTCCTAGTCCAAGTTAAATCACAGTCTCCCAGCATCCCAGCATGCTTTGCAGCCCTATGCTGGGTTGTGCTGTCTGCTCCTGAAAAAGCAAGGCTGGCCCTGCCCCTAGCAAGAGCAGTGAAGGCTGGCTGACAAGAGGGAGGGGGAAAGCCCGGTTGGGGATGTGGCCCAGTCTGCGAGAGTGGGGGAGAGGGAAGGGGGACTGTCCCCCCAGCCAAACCCCAGCTGGGGTCTGGGGCCAGGGAGGGACATTAAACACCCCTTCCCCTGCTCAAATTTACTGCTGGATGCAACTGTGAACTACAAAATCTCAGAGGCATCTAGAAGCAGGAAGAAGTGATGAGCATCCCTGCAGAGTCCTTCTGCTGTAATTCTGGGCTGCAAATCCCAAGGGCCTTGGGGGCAGCAGGAAGAAGTAGTGAAGACAGAGCCAAAAAGCCATGCTCTAGCACCCCCCAGCTTCTCCCCTGAACTACTGCAGGCATGTGGCTGCATTTCCTGAATCAAAGGTAAATGTCTTTTCATTTGTTTCAATTTAATCTCTGCAGTTTAGACTAACCTGTGAAGACTGAACTGATTCAGCCACAGGCTTTTTGACTGTCTGTACCTAGCCTGAAGGAGCAGGCACCTCACTTTTTATATAGGTGCAATGCCTATTCATAGAAACTTTAATTTAGCCCATTTGTATTTCTGCAAGTTAAATAAGTTACAGATGCTATTATGCTATTATCCAGAACCAGGAAGATAAATATAATATTTTTACACGCTTACAATGTCAATAACTATACCTGGATAACGCAAATTAGAATTACAGTTATGTCTTATCATAAAGGGATAGACATGGTAGGTGATCATACCTCTCTATTCAGCACTGGTTAGGTCTCATCTAAATATTGTGTGTGATTATGGGCTCCGTATTTTAAAAAGGATGTGGAGAAATTAGAGAGAATCCAGAAGCAGGCAACAAGAATGATAACGGTCTTGGAAGGCAAGTCATACAAGTAGAAGCTAAAGGAGCTAGGCATGTAGAGCTTGTGGAAAAGGCATGTAAGAGGGGACATGATAGCAGTCTTCAAATACTTGAAGGGTTACCATAAGAAAGAGGGAAAGCACCTTTTCTCTTCAGCGGCAGAGAATAAGAAGCAGACCAATTGCTTGAAGTTGCAGCAAAGTAGGTATAGGCTAGATATGAGGGAAAGCTTCTTCATTGTTAGAACAGTGAGACGGTGAAATAGACCACTCAGGGAAGCTGCAGATTCTCCATTACTGGAGGTGTTCAAGAAGAGGTTGGAAAAACAAGGACTGGGGATGACCTAGGTATAGCTATGCCTATGTTCTGCTATGGATATTTCCCATATTCCTGGGCTTTCCTTGTTGCTGCATGGGGCTGGAAAGGAATTCCTTGTCCCCTCCACCCCTCCTGCTGCTACGTGTCATGGTTTATCCCATGCTTAGATTGGTATGGACTTGTGGGGAGCTTTGCCTTCCTTTGTTGCTGGGAGCATGGTTCTCTTCCTGGGATCTTTTGAACACATATTAACAACTTTTACAGAAGCATGATGTTAGCCACCATGGGTCCCCTGCTTTTCCTGTGGCAAGTTAGGATGTTATGTCTGGTGTTGCATTAAGGTTGACTGTGCAGTTTTTCTAAGAGGTAAAAAAAAATGTACAGGACCATTTGGATAGAGATAATCCTGCCTCAGGTAGTGAAGTGAACTAGATGACCTATGGAGCTCCCTTCCAATCCTATTTCTCTATAATTCTATGAACAATTCTTGGGCTTTTTCAAAATTGTTAAAAACTATTAAAACATCAAAAAAATGATCTTAAGACATTCTTTTCAGACCTGTTAACATTAGACTACAATATTCAAAAGGAGAGAGATTCAATTTTGTTAAAATAATTAATTGAAAGCTGATTTAAAAATTCATTGTTTTAAACAATCTTTTGTCGAGAATTTTCTTGCTAATATTTATTGTAGACAGGTAAATGCACTGTTACATTTTTTTTTGTTCTTACAACTGGTGTCCCAGAGAGTAAGAATTGTAATCTAATTAGAAAGTAATCTTATTTTCAGCTTAAAAATTGAATGCATTGCTTTAAAATATAAAAAATAGCTCTAGAGAAAATTGTCTTCAACAAAATTAATTAGTTTTAAAAAGAGATAGAAACCAATTATCCTGACTACTCATATTAATCTCTGTGAGGTATTTGCTGATCTTGTTCCTTTTTCTTTAAAAGTATGTTTTAAACTTTATTTGTTTCAAAATAGGCTTCTTATACCATAAATTCGAAACTACTATAGCAACTTAAACATTTTTTTTTGTTAGAACAGACCAATGTGTCTCCCTACTTTTTGTCTGGAGGGAACCTTTCACACAACATAAAAACTTCCATTGACTTCAGCATATACTGGACAGACCTTCAGGAAAGCAGGTGATGACTGAGCTGCTGCCCCTCACTCAGACCCCATATGTATCTGCCAGGGAAACAATTGTGCAGGGGATAAGAACACAGGGCCTCTTTAGAAAAGGCCTCTAAAATCCAACACGCTTAGGAGCAGGGCCTATAGTCTCGACTGCATAGGTTAAACAATACCTCCCTGACAGGATGATGGGATCTTTTTGGAGATTTCCTCTCCTTAAGATCTCTTCTGTGAATGTTTCTGAGAGTTGTATGACCTGGGCCAATAGTAATACTTTGGTTTTATATGTCAATTTTTTTTACACAAATTCCTGTCTGTCCAAGAGTACATGTAGATATAAGCTATAATACAGTCCCACAGCTCTCTGAACCAAAGACATACCGCTAAGTCTTCTATCAGTTTATCTTCAAAGTAATGTTCTTCTGTTTCAATCCAAGACTTTTCATAACCTTGAAGGAAAAGATTGACAGCTCGATGCCTAAAAAAAACCCAACAGATTTAAGATAAAATTATTAATCAATTTTTTAAAAATGTGCAATGCAATTTTCTTTTTTCTTTTGGTAGAAAATTTTCCAATCTTTTTTTGAAATGTTACCACAGGCCTTACACATCCAAGCCACTGCCACTTTCTAGGAGCCAAATCACAGACTTACCCTAGTCAATTATCATGGCATGTGTACTTTGGGGAATGATGATGAAGTCCCTTATTTCCTTTTGGCTCAGGCAGAAGACTAATTATTTTTTTATGGAACTGTTATAAGCTACATGCTGTACAGATCATACACACACATGCCAAAATATTTTTAGCTGGAGAGAGATAAAAATGAACAAAGAAAAAGAAGGAAAACAACAAAACCCAAAACTAAACAAAGAAAAAAATGTTTTGGGACAAATTTAGTGCCTTTCCTTCACAGCTGCTGAGATCCTCTGGGCTATGGAAGCTGAACTTCTGAACTAAAAGCAGGGAGTACAAGATAAGGCTGGGAAACTATCTTGAGCATACACACTTCTGACCTAGCAGAGATCTGCTCCTCTAAAGACCACAGCACAGCAGAGCACAGAGAATAGAGCAATGGCGGCTGAATATTGCCAGCCCACTTCCCAAAGGGAGAGTGTTTCAGTGCCTGCTGGCTTCTGTGACTTTAGTTTCACAACTGGCTGATGGTCTGAGAAGATATTTACTCTTCCTTGTCTTCTTGCAGTTGCACTTGCCCATGCTTTGGCTATGTAATCCATTTAAGTATAAATGTACACAAATAGAAAAGAAAAAGTATATAAAGAAGACTGTAACAGAATGTTCCCCAAAGGACAAATAATACAATGGTCATCTTTTTCATGTAGTGGCTTTATGGCTTACTATAAAAACAACAAATCAGCACATATTTTACTTGCTAAGATACAGCTCAAAAACACTGTTATTGACACTTTGGCCAGGTACAGACATTACACTTCTACCCATATAAGTGATCAGAAACTGGTCTATGCCCGTAACAGAACATGAGTTCAGCACACACAAATGGCCTATACTCACATAACAGAAGTTCAGCACAAACAGATTGGTTTCAAAATGGTGGGACCTGCTCTAAGATTTCCATGCCCTCATCAAAGGGTGAATGTATGTTCTGTTCGCTGCTTACAGAAAACCACGTAATGTAGATCAATTTCATCTCAGGCTTTTTGGATGTCTGTACCTAACCTGTGTGTATTTTAGCAAGCCTACACACACACACACACACACACACACACACACACACACACACACACATCTTTTTTACACACTCACTCATTCTTTCC